GGGGGGTCCGAACTAAGAGCCGGGGTCTTGATTTTGACCGTCTGTCGAAAGAACAACGGCTTAGCCAGAGCCAACGGGCTCCTGCTTCGGGATTTCTTCAGCCGAATCGGATCCGGAGAGTCCTGGGAGCGGGGAGATTTTCCGTGCCGGGTCGTTCCTGGAGAGTCCCGTGTTCCGCGCCGCGGGGGCAGGGGAGGTGGGTTTCTCTTCCTGTGTCCAGATCCTCTGGGCGCTCTGGTGTCCAGATGCTCTGATGGAGCAGCAGCCGGGCGTGTCCTTGAAGACGTAACAGAAGCATGCGGCTTTTGAGCCGGAGCTGAGTCATCCCCTTGCCGTGGCTGGTCCTTCGTGGCGCCGCAGCACGGACAGTGCCCCCCCGGATTCGGTGGAGGCGGAAACACTAACTCCATGTTATCGGCGTCAACGTGTGGTATGTAGTCGCGAACAGGGGCCTTCCGTGATGGTCCACCATCAGGTGGTGAGAGAACACACCCATCTTTTCTGCTCCAATGGATGGTCCAATCCTCATCCTCGACGAGACGACCCATGGAAATAACAGACGGACAACCTTTGAGAGCCAAAGAACCTGTGTGCAAGTTAATGGAAGGCACAGAAACATTGATGTGCTCATTAACAACTCGATCACCGTTTGCTGTTTCCAATACGTATTCATGTCCACGACGAATACCACATGTTTCAGCTTGAGTCAAATCGTCCTTGTCCGTGATGTGGTGCGCAGAACCACTATCCAAGACCCAAGACCGTGCGAGAACCGCGGGGGACTTTGCTGCAGTTTCCTGCTGCACTGCCCCGGCTGGGACAAGCGGCATGCAGGTGTCGAGGTCGTCGTCCAGGCGCTCGGTCAAACGGATGGCGTTCTCGATTGCCTCCTGGAGCGCATCCGCGGAGGTCTGCAGCCAGTGGTCCGGAAGAACATCAGGAACGTGGACCACATATCCCTGGTTAGGGGAAGTACGGTGTCGACGCATTTTGGTCTGAACAGGGAAGTAGTGAATCTCTGTGGCTGCAAAGTTCCATTGCAAGCCTTTCGGCGTCTGAGTCTTTCTGCCAGGGACTGCAGCGAGAGCGAAGGATCGTGGACGACAGACGTCAACTTGAGGTCGAAGACAGCCGGGAGGCCGATCACAAGGGCTCGGGTCGTGATCATTGCTTTGGCTGCTGCGGCGTCGGTCGCGGGAGGGGGAGCGCCGTAGTCGACAGGAGTCGTAACAGCGCGTGCCCCCCGGACTGTTGGACACTCGCGTGCTGTGTCCAAACTGGGGGCCTGGCGAGGCACCAGGCAGGGCGCCAGGCTCGGCGCCGGATTGGGAGCCGGGCTCGGAGCCGAGAAAGGTGCTGCGCTCAGAACAGCCGGGTCGGGGACCGGACTCGGAGCGGGACTGGGAGCCGGCAAAGGCGCCGGTCAGGGCGCCGTGTTTGGAGCGTATGACGTACACTCGGTTCCAGGGAGCGGCAGGTGACCGGGCCCTCGTGCTCGTGCTGCTCCGCTGGCTGGTACGGTCTGAGTCGCGAGAAGGTCGACGTCCGCGCTGGGAGTCGTCGTGGAGCGTGCCTTCCTGACTCTCATACCCGTCTTGGTTGGGAGCGGGCCGAGATCGCCAGTTATCCCAGATCTGAGATTGGGAGGCGTCACGAGGAGGCTGCTGAGATCCCCCCGGACTCCTGGGCGAACGGTGGTTTCGACCAGATTTCGGTCCACGCGAGGGGGGGCGGCCACGGCTGTCCTGACTCCGCGGGCGGCTGGTGCTCTGTGGCGGAGTCGCAGCGTTGGCTGCCAGGTGTGCGTAGGTGCACGCGTCGCCCTTGGCGCAGTGGCCTGCCTGGAAGTAGCTGCAGGCGGGCACGTGGGGGTAGCGGCAGCGGTCGCCGTACGAACAGGCACCAGTTTTGGCGAATCTGTGGCAAAAACGCGCGGCGCCGCCGTGAGGCTGCTGCGAGCCGGGTGGCTGGGCAGAACGCTGGGGTTGGCGAGAGTTCTCGCTGTGAGGGGCGCCAGTGTCAGGGCGGCTGCGGGAGTCCACCATGTGCAGGAGCTTGCACGCGTTTCCCTTGGGGCATTTGCCCTTGCTGAAGGGCACGCAGAAGCCAGTCTTCGGAGAGACGATGGCTGCGGTGTCCCTGTTGCCTGTCCTCAGGTGGTACTGGTTGCGCCGCGTTCGGTGTAGCTCAAGAACAGCTGTGACTCGGTGGTGGAGCCAAGTGTAACAGCGCTCTGGTGCCCCTTTAGGAGCTTTGTTGTACGTGTTCATGTCGTCCTTCATCCAAGGATGCAACTCAATCTGTGTACGAAACAGTGACTCCATAATGTTCGGCGGAGGAAGCTCCCGGAGCTCCAGGAGCAGTTGGTCCCACTCCGTCACGAACCTTTTGAGGTCATCTCCATGCATACGTAGAGTGTTGATCCTTTCGAAATCATGAATCGTATCGTCGGCGTCGGTCACATCGTAATAACGCAAAATCTTCCAGTAGATCTGACGTCCCTTTATCATGCGACCGTGCTTGTGCTCTGTGTTCTCCAGCAATTTGATATCCAGTTTCAATTCGCTGCTGAGAATCGCTTGTAAAGCTTCCGCGAACTTCAGATCCAAACTTGCGAAATCACCGCTGTCCTGTAGATCATCCAGTGTCACACCGGGCTGTTCTGCAACACAGAAGAACTTGTATGCAGCATCTGGACGCCCAGAGGCACTGCAGAAGGCCTTGCGGACTGCGTGCTGCCACTCAAGAACATGTCCGATTCTGGGAAGACCTGGAACACGCACACGCTCGCTCTCCTTCACCGGTGCGATGGTAGCAACAGGGTTCCCTCCGATGGTGTATTGAGACTGCATGACAGTAGCACCAAGGACGTTGGGCACTGGTGAGTGCGTGCGAAAACCTGCAGCGTCGAAGTTTGCCTCCTGTGCAGGTGCTGCGGAAGCGGCCGGGGCCGCGGTCCTGCTGGCAGCTGACGGTGACACACGTCGGGCCTGTGGCTGGTAGCCAGCGGCTGGGGTTCCCCCCTGCACACCCCCCGCGTTCGAGGCAGGGGCGCCGGGAGAAGTGCGTCTGGAGGTCGGGGCTTGTGGTGGTACAGGTGTGTGCTGTGTAGCATCAGCTACGTGGGCCTTGAATTGGTCTTCGAGAATGATGTTGTCACGTTGCAACTGTTCGATGCAGCCTGAGAAACCATCAACATTCCTCTGGACCTCGCGGGTCTTGTCTGTAAGCACGGAATACTGTCGTTGAGTAGACTGGGAAAGGTCTGTAAGAAGAGAACGTAGCTGATCCATGTCGGCCTTTACGCGCGACAGCTCCTGCTGCGTATCCGCCAGGCGGGTCTGCACTTCAGATACCCGTGCCTTTCCAGCATCCCTCTCAGAGCGAAGCTCGTGTAACTGCCTTTGCACGTGGTCCGCCTCCGCACGCACGGTCCGTTGTACGGCTGCCAGTACGGCGGGGTCGTCAACCGAAGAAGGGGGCACCAGCTGGCCAGTCTGGGCCCTTACAACGCGCAGCTCAGTCACGGCCTCTTCGAGAGTCAGGACTCTGGCGGTGAGCTTTGGGATCGAATCAACTTGGGAATCAGAGAAACGCTGGTTGACAGCATTTTCGGCTTGACAGAGTTTGCCGTAGAGATCTTGTTGGACTTGTTGGGTCTCAGCACGAAGATCAGATGTAGCAGACATCGTGGCGTCACGAAGCTCAATAATCTGGCCCTGGAGAGCTGAGGGAGCCGCGCCGGCGCTGGCGGCAGCAACTGCTTGGAGTTCATCGTGGAGAAACTTGGCGCGAGTATCATTGTGGTCACGCATATGGATAAAACGTGCTTCCAAATGAGAGAACTCGGAGTGCACAGCGGCAAGCTCGGAGCGGTCTTGGCCACGCTGAGCGGCAACAGCATCGACCTTCGAAACGAGTTGACACATGACGTGACGATCCTCGTACAACCTAGCGTCGACTTCCTGCAAACCTTTAGCGAGATCCGATCGCAAGATCGCAGTCTCAGTGGCGGTTGCCCGGTGCACGAGAGCAGTCTGATGCTCCACATACGTCTGTACCTGGTCTCTTAGCTCAGCCATATCTGTTAGGGGGACGGCGGCAGGCGCAGCCACAGGTGAGCTGACAGCGCGTCTTCGTGCCCTCTGGGAGGGACTGCGGCTGTGCAAATCCTGGGCTGCAATCTGGAACTGTTCGGGGCCACGTCTGTCACGAGGCGAAGCTGCGCGAGAACGAGAAACAGTGACTTGACGGCCGGCGAAGGCTGCGCCGTCGCGGGTCTGAGCACGAAACTCGAGGGCGCGGACGTGCTCTCGGACTGGCGTCACGGCACGGGTGACTGGGTTCCGTCCTGGCGCGCCGGCGTTCGCGTGACTCCCGCCCCAGCGGCGAGATCCTCCAGAGCCTCTCTGCACGGGACTTCCCTGTGGAGGCGAAAGAGCCTCCGAGGCGAAAGAGCCTCCGAGATTTTGAGGAGGTTGAGGAGTCTGGAGCTGAGGAACTCCAGGAGCCACAGGGTGTCTCGCTCTGACAGCATTTCTGGGCGGATCATTCCGTGGCACGAGGACCTCAGCGCTCTGAAAGAGATGCTGCGCAGCACCCGAGCTGCGGTCTCCCGCTGCATCCGACACGACGGGCGACGCGACGGGATGAACGACTGACGACGAGGAAGGGGCCTGGAACTGAGGAGTACCAGGAGCGTGTCCTTGTCCAGCGTCAAGACCCTCAGTACCTGGAGAAATGGCCACACGATCAGCTCGCGGGATGCCATGCACGTCCATCAAAACTTCAATCTCCTGCTCCAAGTTGCGCGCCACGGGGTCCGCCACGCCGTCGCGAAGAGGCGCGGGGCCGAGAGGCGCACCGCCCTCCATCGCGACTGAGTGGGGGGCTCAGGAAGCGCGGAAGTTGGAGCGATTGCGTTTTGAACAGAGAAGGCTGATAACCTGTGTGAGGGGGAGGGGGACCGAAGGACCGAACCCACCCCCAAAGTGTCCGTAGGTAGACGTGATGAGGATGATGGTAGTTGTCCTCTTCACCCTCTGAGTACGAGTACCTGCATCCGAGCCGAAAGGGGCGATGGATATGAGCAAGATAGGAGGAAAGTAGGGGGATTCACACACATTCTGGCTCTCCCGCGGCGGCAGGTCCTCCTCGCCGAACTTCGGCGTGTTGGCGGGGGCCTGTCGCTGCTCGCACTTCTTGCCGTGGTCCCCTTGGCCCCCCGAGTCCTCTCAGAGGGGATAAAAGGGACCACCGCCACCCAGAACTCGTCGGGGGGGACCCACCTCTGGGCTTGGCGGTGAGACGCCAAAAACACCATCCAGCTCAGTAGACACACACAGTAAGATCTCTTGTTCTGGGAACTCTTGGGGCAGAATCTTGACGCTCAGGTGTGCCACCACCCAGAAGAGGTTTCCCCTCCAGATGGGTTCTCGGTGGCGGTGGCCTCCGTCTCCCTTCTGATCCTTGCAGCGGAGGCAGCACCACCCCCCGAACTTGGCGTACTCGCGCCCGCCTGGCCCTGCCGCCTCCGAGTGCACCAGCAGCCCGCACCCCCCGAGGCAAGCGCGAGGGCCAGGCATCCGCAGCGGGAGACCCCCAGAAGCGCCTGAGGCCACCTGCGCGGCGGAAGTGCGCGGTGGGAGATCTCCATCAAAGAGCTAAGAGAAATCAGGCCCGATCAGGGAGCCCCTGAGCCGGACTAGCCGGAACAAGCGCGGGAATGAGCTAGATTCAGCGGGACTCGGCCAGACCAACTGGGACTAAGCTAGACTCGGCGGGATAAAACCAGATTAGGCCAGTGTTCGGCCAGGGACACACAGCGCCGATGGAGAATTCAACATCCCAGGAACTGCACCTCAAGAAGCACCAGCAACAGCAACAAACTGCATAATCACATGTTTTCGGGAGCCGCGCGCGGTGTTCTTTCGGACCCGCGCTGGGCCCACCCCCCTCTCCGACACGCGGAGCGCGCCAGGGGCGGAGGCGGAGGCGCGGCCAGGGGGGCCCAGTGCCGATCCAGAAATCCGCGTGGAAAACCTTGGAAGTTCCAGGGTGGCTCCTTGAGAGCTGAGTGGGGCTGGAGAGAAGGAAGGGGCCGTTCTTTACCCATGGGGGGTGGCACGTCGTGTTGCACCGGGGTGGGGGGTTGGCGCGGGGGGAGGTTCACGGTGACGGCGGCCGGCGTGCATCCCCGAAGGCGCGACCGCAACACAGGCGCAACATAGCTGTGTTTACGACGACGCCTGCGTGCACCACAACGCCTGTGCACACCACGGTGTTTTTGTTCACCCTAGCACCTGCGCGCAACATGGCGCCACATCGCTAGTGTACAGCATAGCGCCTCTGTGCACCTCAACGACCGGAGTGCGCAATCCTGCCATTGCACACCGCAGTGCCTGCGTGCACTGGACCGTTTTTGTACACCACGGCGCCTGCGCACATCACAACAGACGTGTGCACCACACCGTGGCCGTACACCACAGCGCCTGTCGACGCCACAGCACTTGCGTGAAACACGGTGCAAGAGAGTAAAGAAGAGACGAAGACGATGAGAAGAGGAACGCTACGACGACGACGACGACCACGACCACGACGACGACGACAACTAAAACGACAACGACGACGCCGAAAACACAAACGACGACGACCATGACGACGACGACAATTCCTGTGTACTCTCGGGAGCATCTGGGCCACGTCGGTCGTCGTCGCCCTCCTCCTCCTCCTGCTTCTCCCCCTTCCCCTCCTCCTCCTCCTCCTCCTCCTCCTCCTCCTCCTCCTCCTCTTCCTCTTCCTCCTCGCCCTCCCGTCTTCCTCCTCCTACTCCACCTCATGGTAGCCTTGTCCGATGAAGACTGTAAGGACTCACGCTTGTGGCCAGTTTCCAGGCGTTACCGTTACCGGGGGCTAAACGAGCTTTCTCAAGCTTTGTTGCGCAGCTCTTTCACAACGCTTCCTGGGCTCCCGCGCAACTATCATGCGAAGTTTGCAAGCTTCCCCGGCATCTTGTCAATTTACCTGGCCAATGTCTCCCACAATTTTTCACGCACCCGGATCTGTTCCCGTATCCAGTGACGTCACAAGTTCAGAAAAGACTGCAGTTGTTCCTTCTCCGCAGAACAGCTTGAACAAGAAGGCGTGGCAAATTTGCGCGATGCCTCAAGCAGGCCGCGGACGCGGCAGACTGCGAGGACACGGAGAGCGCGCACGCGCGGCCTGACCGCGGGTAGGGGCAGGCTGGTCGCGAGTGTCGGCGCAGCCTCGCCGTGCAGGAGCTGGGGAAACACCAGGGGCATGCAACATGCCACGGACATTCCGAACACGCGCACACGCACACACACACACACAACACAAAATCATGGTCGACACACGAACCCGGAAAGAAACATAGAACTTTAAGGCATGAGAGCGATTTCAAGACACCTGATTGGGTGACGGGCAATTGCAATGCTGAATGAGTCGATCGTGATGCACCGTGCCAAAGGCTGTGCTGTGCTGCGCCGTGCTGACTTGCGATGTGCTGGGCGGCGATTGTGATCTATAGCACTGTGGATCGAGTCTTCCTTTGCATCCGAGTCTGGACCGCACTGATACAGTCAAACCTATGATTAAGATACTTATCGATTAAGTCAGCCGGGCCAGCTATTCAAAAGTTTCTTGAGCAAACGCTGTGCCAGCTTTTGGAGCCAGGGACGTACACGACTAAATTCTCGGATCCAAGGCTACCAATCCCCTTAAAGAACTGAGCCAGCATTCCGGCAAGTTGGTTAAGAAACGCTGGCCAGCTTCTCGGGGGGAGGCATCCTAATCAGAAGCAGGACCGTATTTATCTTCAGCTCGAGCTGCCTGAGCACATAGCAGCTGCCCCAGAGCTAGTTGCAGTGGAAACGTTCGGGACGTTCAATCAACTCCACCTCAAAATCCGACTCAGCTCCGAAAAGGAACGACTCGACACGGGGCACATGCTCACAGACGCGCCACAGGATGTTCCAGGGGCGCAATGGGGGATGCGCCAGGGGGAGTGCCAGGGAACATATTAGGGGACGTGCCCTGGACGTGTCAGGGACCTGCCACGGGACGTGCTACTGCGCGTGCCATGGGGCGGCCAGAGGAGATTATGCCAAGGGACGCTGCAAACAGAGGCGCGCCATGGAACAGGCAGGGGAAACGCCTGGGGAGGAGCCAGGACACGTGACAGATGATGATCGGGTCGGGCGAAAGGGGAGGATAGCAAAGGGGGGGTTTGAGAATCAGCTCACGTAGCTGATTTTCCCGGCGCCTCCCGGCGCCGGAGGCGCCCATGTATCGAGGAATGGGCCCCTCGGTGAGGCCGAAACCAGCTGCATGCAGCAAATTTCGTAACCCCCCCTTTCCCAATCCCCCCCTTTCGCCCGACCCGAGAAACGCCTGGGGAGGAGCCAGGACACGTGACAGAGGATGAGCTCGGGAACCTGCCGCGCCGAGTGGCGTGCTGGCGTGACGTGCCAGGGGCCCGCCACGGCCCTGCCCGCCTGGCGGCGCGCAGCCACCCGGAGGCCCCGTGCGCTGGGGCGGCGCGCAGCCGCCCGTGGAGCCCGCCTCGGCGCTGCGGCCGCCGCGCTCGGTCGGGTCGGGCGAAAGGGGGGGATAGCAAAGGGGGGGTTTGAGAATCAGCTCACGGAGCTGATTTTCCGGGCGCCTCCCGGCGCCGGGAGGCGCCCATGCATCGAGGAATGGGCCCCTCGGTGAGGCTGAAACCAGCTGCATGCAGCAGATTTCGTAACCCCCCCCTTTCCCAATCCCCCCCTTTCGCCTGGCCCGAGCCTCGGCGCTGCGGCCGCCGCGCTCGGCCAGGGCGCGCGGCTGGCCGGCGACCAGAACGCGAACCCGAACCTTCGGCGGCAGCTCCTGGGAGCCCTGCGTGCCCTCCTGGTGGGCTTGTTGTCCACCGCCACCACAAGTAGGAGAGGGGGGGGTCCTCCTCCCCCTCTTCTTCCTCCTCTCCTTCCTTCACCTCCTTCCCCCCTCCAACTTATGGTGGTGGTGGCGGTGGTGCAAAACTGCCCCATCATTGCTGGCGCTTGCGAACCGACGCTGACCGACACGAGCCGACGCGAAGTCGACGCTACATCGACACTTCACTGTCGACTGCCAAGCACGGGTCGACGTTAATGCGCTCTAGAGGCGGAGGTACGTGGAGACACCAGGCTCTCAGGATGTGCTACCGACCTGACGGGGGGTATGGCGACCCAAGTCCCCGTGCTTGTTTTGTCCTCGAAAGGACCACAACATATGAGCCAAGCTCGGGGATTACTTAAGAATCGGGGGCATACATCCTCGATGGGGGTGCGTCCTAATAGCTCCCCAGAGGTGTATCCCTGAGTTCCCCCCTCTTTTTTAAGCGTCTAATTTTTGTTGGCCAAGCTGCGGGAGTGGGGTCGGTAAATCGCCTGCGAAACCTAACCATCCCAAATCTCTTTAGACCCAATGATCGTCGGACCGCGTCGGATGCACGCCGGATGACGTCGGAATATCATCCCACTTGCGCTGGATGTGCGTCGGAACATCGCCGCGCAAACGTCGTCTTAAATCTGACGGGGCGGACGCGTAGACTAGATACTGCAACTGTTGCGAGCCGCAAGAGGTATCAATAATAGTCTTCATAGCCTGCACCCAACTCTCCCTACACACAAATCTCCGAATATCGGTGTCGGCCTCCGCGGACCGTTCTCGGGCCCAGGGGCCATGACAAAGGTGGACCCCAGATGAAACAATACATCCCTGGGGAAGCGGTCGGGACCCCTGAGGCACCGAACTGAAGACATCATATCGTCGGGTATCGCGGTACCCCTGCAGGTCGGACTTCCGAAAGACCGGACAGGGGGGTCAGAATCCGAGGGATGTCGGCGCCGCGGCGTGTCCGATGTCCCAGCGCCGAGCAGACGAGCAAGGGACCAGAACTCCAACGTCCCTACTTTCTCACAACGTCGACTCATGGAGGTCTGGACCCCTTTCCCGAAACTGGCGTTGCGTCCGGAGCCATGTTGCTTGACGGCCCCGGTGCCTGGCAAGGGCACCTGGAGGCAGAAGCTTGCCCAAGACCTTGCGTCGCGATCCCAAAATAATACATCATAACAAACAACTCATATCATTCACGGTGACGCCCGCGACCGGCCTCGCCCCTCCCCCCTCCCCCCCTCCCTTCCCCCCCTCGTCGCGTCACTATTCACGCTGCGCCATCTGGAAATTAACCAATCTCAAAGATTCCCTCTCGGCGCTGGTGCGAATCTTTGCGTGACCAGCCTCCCCGCCCGGTCACGCCCATAATGCCCAGAGAACGGACCTACTCAAGAAAAGCACCCCGATAGCAGCAAATGTGAAGAGGCGAATCGAGGAGAAGGAGGTCGGCTAGTGAAAACGTGCACTCTTATGTCTACCCAGGGACTCCTGAAGGAATTTGCAGCTGGGACAAGGGTTTGAGCACGGCCATGAGCACCACAGGGCGCTTTTTACGATAGATCGTGGCCGTCCAAAATTCAACATACATCCGGCATTTAGGCGACATTACGATTCCCGAATAAGTTGAAAAGACGTCTTAGTCGGAACGGCTGCTGGACCGTCTGCTGGACCGAGCTGCTTCCCGTCTCCGTGTGAAACACCTCTGTTGCCATTTCTCACCACTGCTGCAATCCTCTAGCAAAACGCTATTAAGGAGAAATTGTCTCCTGGGGCCCAGAACTCCAACGTCGTCTCTCTTCACGACGTACACCTTCCTCGAGGCCAGTGTTTCGCCCCGAGCCGTTTGCTGACGGCTTTGTGGCCTGGCAAAGACCTCCCAGCGTTTCCAAATTATCAAATCGTGCCGCAAAAACCTTTCGCCGTGGTGTCGCCCGCCGAGCCCTTTCGGAGACGGCTCAAAAGCCAACTTGTATTCCACCACGCGAGCAAAACTTACGCAAATACAGTTCTGCACTATGTTTTGCGTGAGCTCACTTGAGCCAAATCCCGATTGACACCGTACAGGTAAGTCCGATCTAGACAGCTGGTCTAATCCTGAGATCGGGATCTTCAGTTGCACTGGGGAGCCAGACCGCGATTCCAGATCGAACCGAACTCAGGGAAGCCTGGGGGCTCTGGGTTTGCACCTGGTCGCCGAGTCCGACCCGCCCACGCAAAGGGCGACGCCTGCCGCTTCAGCGAGGGCGCGCCGCCGGGGACTCGCAGGCGCGCGGCGCGCAGGCTGGGCAGCAGCGTCAGAGGGAGGATAGAAGAGATCCGCTCATCGTCGTCTGGCTTTTGTGTCATACCACGGGCCTCGGGCGGACGTTCAGGACGATCTGGGCACCCCCGAACGCCTCTCGACGAGGCGCAGCTGCTGGCGAGCACCCAGGGGCTGAAAAGCCGCCGAGACCCTACCGGTCAGAAACTTTGGGATAGCGTGTCGCGGCGGCCGCCTGGGCAACACGCCATCTCTTGCGAGCGGATAGCGTGTAACTCACAGCGTGGGGCGAGAGGGTCGGAAAGGCACGAGACGATCGCGCCTGGGAATGGGAAAGCAGATGGCGTGTCGCGCCGAAGAGTGGTGGGGCAGAACCGGCGGAGGGACATGCTATACAAAGCTTCCCTCCCTAACTTAGGGAGCGGCCGGGGGGGCTGACCTGGTTGGGACCCAGGAAGATCAATCAGGAGGGGATGAAGCCAAATCCACCCAAAATCGATCTCCAGACCCCGCCAGGGGTCCAACTAGTGCAAACTTTGTCACCCCGGATCCGTTTTTGGCAGTCCCAGAAACCGAAAACGGGGCCCGAAGGCCGAAAACGGCAAAACACATTCTCGAACCTGCCTCCCGTCCCTGCTCGCCAGAACAGGCGCCGGGCCACCTCAGACCTCTCGCCAGATCCAAGACGAAGCCCTTCACACAAAAAACTGAGGGAGCATGAGCCTTCGCAGGCCCGCGCGGATCTTTCGGGTCTGCGCTGGACCACCCCTCAGACCCCCAGCCTGCGCCGACCCCTGGCGCTGCCCCCGACAGCGCGCCCTTGGACGACGGAGGGCCCGCCAGGCCAGCGCGCGGCAGCCCCACGCGCCTGCGGGCGGCCCTGCGCCAGGGGCGGCTCGAGCAAGTGAGAAAGGCAAGACATACGTAGAGCAGGGTTGAACCTAAACGGTGTTTTTCGTTTTCGTTTTGTTTTCGTTGTCCTTCGTTTTGTCTTCAACCCGCATTTACCGCAAAACGAAGTCGAAACGAAAACGGCCCACGAAACCGCATCATGATCGACCCACGAACCCGGAACGGCATAAAGGAATGTAACACATGGCAGCGTTTTCAAAGACACCTGATTGGGTGACGGGCAAATGCAATGCTGAGTGTATCGATCTTGATGTACCCCGCCGAGGGCTGTGCTTTGCTGCACCGTGCTGAATTGCGATGTGCCATGCCGCGATTGTGCTCTATAGCGTCGTGGATTGAGTCCTCCTTTGCAGCCGAGTCCTGACCGAACTGATCTGGATCTTAAGCTCGAGCTGCCTGAGCACACAGTAGCTGCCCCAGAGCTAATTCACAGGGGGACATGCCAGGAAGACGCGCCGCGGAACGTCCCAAGGGACGCGCCAGGCGACGTGCCAGGGGACGTGCCATGGGGACGCACCGCGGGGCGTGCCAAGGGGACGCGCTACGGAAAGTGCCAATGGATGTGCCACGGGATGTGCCAAGGGACGCGCCACGCGACGTGCCAGGGGGACTCGCCAAGGGACGCCCCACGGAACATGCCAAGGAACGTGCCAGGTTGCAATGCTGAGTGTATCGATCTTGATGTACCCTGCCGAGGGCTGTGCTTTGCTGCACCGTGCTGAATTGCGATGTGCCATGCCGCGATTGTGCTCTATAGCGTCGTGGATTGAGCCCACCCTTGCAGCCGAGTCCTGACCGAACTGATCTGGATCTTAAGCTCGAGCTGCCTGAGCACATAGTAGCTGCCCCAGAGCTAATTCACAGGGGGACATGCCATGAGGACGCGCCGCGAAACGTCTCAACGGACGCGTCAAGCGACGTGCCAGGGGACGTGCCATGGGGTCGCACCGCGGGACGTGCCAAGGGGACGCGCTACGGAATGTTCTGGGGACAAGCGTTTCGCTCGAGACATCCTGTCACATTCCTCATGCTAGGCATCCACCTGAGCGACCTGGACACGTGAAAACAAGCGTTTCGCCCAACACAGCCCCAACATCTTTTCATGCTAGACATCCGCCTGGGTGAACTGGACACGTGAAAACAAATGGTTCGCTCGAGACATCCTCAACACATCTTCATGTCAGACGTCCGCTTGGGTGACCTGGGCACGTGACAACAAGCGTTTCAGTCGAGACGGTTTCAACACCTCCTCATTCTAGACATCCGCCTGGGCGACCTGTACACGTGAAAGCAAACGTAACTCTCGAGACAGTCTCAACACATCCTCATGCTAGGCATCCGCCTGGGCAACCTGGACACGTGCAAACAGGCGTCTCGATCGAGACTTCCTCAACACATCCTCATGCTAGACATCCACCTGGGCGACGAGGACGCGTGAAACCAAGCGTCTCGCTCGAGACATCCTCAACAAATCCTGGCGCTAGACCTCTGCTTGGGCAACCTGGAGGCGTGAAACCAAGCGTCTCGCTCGAGACATCCTCAACACCTGGGCACGTTTCACTTCAGAGATCATTTGAATTCTGGTCCCCAGGAGAGGACAATAGATGACACAAAACACGCGTTTCGCTCGAGACATCCTCAACACATTCTGAAACAAACAAGCGTTTCGCTAGGGACATCCTCACATTTTAATTCGCTGGCCCAGCTCGACCTCGATATGTATCGCAAAATATGATCGGCCCACGAACCAAGAAAGGACTATAGAAATGTAAGACATGGCAACGTGTCAAAAACACCTGATTGGGCGACGGGCAAATGCAATGATGAGTGTATCAATCTTGATGTACCGTGCCGAGAGCTTTGCTGTGCTGCGCCGTGCTGAATTGCGATGTGCCATGCCGCGATTGTGCTCTATAAGTCCTCCTTTGCATCCGAGTCCTAACCGATCTGATCTGGGTCGTAAGCTCAAGCTGCCTGAGCACATAATAACTGCCCTAGAGCTGATTAGCAATGAGACATGCTAGGAGGACGCGCCGCGGAACGTCCCAAGGGACGCGCCAGGCGACGTGCCAGGGGACGTGCCATGGGGACGCACCGCGGGACGTGCCAAGGGGACGCGCTGAGGAACGTGCCAATGGACGTGCCACGGGACGCGCTCCCGCGGCCACGATCCCTCGTAAATTACATTGCGTCCGCGCTCCCAGGGCCACGATCCCTCGTAAATTACATTGGGGTGGCGCTCCCAGGGCCCCGACCCCTCGTAAATTCCACGTGGTCCGCGCTCCCAGGGCCACGATCCCTTGTAAATTAGCTGCGTCCGAGCCCCCAGGGCCCCGATCCCTTGTATTCTACGCTGCGCCCGCGCTCCAAGGGCTACGATCCCTCGAAAATTAAAATGCGTCCGAGCTCCCAAGGTCCCGATCCCTTGTGAATTACGCTGCGCCCGCGCTCCGAGGGCCACGATCCATTGCAAATTACGCGTGGTCCGCGCTCCCAACGCCACGATCCCTCGTAGAATACGCCGCGTCCGCGCTTCCAGGGCCTCCTGGGGCATGCTGGGGCGCCCAGATCCTTCAAGTTTTGCCAAACAAGCGTTTCGCTCGAGACATCCTCGACGTTTTGGCGCGGGGGGCGAACCATCCTCCAGCGGGCACGCAAAAACTCAACACTGCCACGCTAAATCTTAGAAAAACAAACAAACGAATTCGTCAAGACATTCTCGAAGTTCCTGCGCGCGGGACGCGGCACGCGCGAGACATCCTCTGAATTCCTGCGCGCGGGGTGTTTTTCCGCGTCGCGGTCGGCTCTGCAAAACCAGCGTTTCGCTCGAGACATCCTCAACAAATTCTGAAAACTAGCGTTTCGCTGGAGACATCCCCAACTCTGCAAAACCAGCGTTTCGCTCGAGACATCCTCAACAAATTCTGAAAAAAACAAGCGTTTCGCTTGAGACATCCTCAAACATAATTCCGCCGGCCCTCTTCGACCTTGTGTTTTATCGCAAATAATTCCGCTGGCCACCTTCAAATCAAAACCGGGGGAAAACCAACTAAAAGAGAACCCTGGGCCGACGCCCTTTCCGGGAAGAAATTCGCCAGCCCACCTCAAGTCAAACCTGGAAATAAACCAACTAAAAGAGAACCCTGGGCTTATCCCTTTTCCGGGACATGCTCGACCCACGAACCCGGAAAGGAATATAGAAATGTAACGCATGGCAACGTGTCAAAGACACCTGATTGGGTGACGGGCAAGTGCAATGCTGATTGTATCGATCTTGATGTACCGTGCCGAGGGCTGTGCTGTGCTGCACCGTGCTGAATTGCGATGTGCCATGCCGCGGTTGTGCTCTATAGCGTCGTGGATCGAATCTTCCTTTGCATCCGAGTCCTGACCGAACTGATCTGGATCTGAAGCTCGAGCTGCCTGAACACATAGTAGCTGCCCCAGAGCTAATTGACAGGGGGACATGCCAGGAGGACGCGCCGCGAAACGTCCCAAGGGACGCGCCAGGCGACGTGCCAAGGGACGTGCCATGGGGTCGCACCGTAGGACGTGCCAAGGGGACGCGCTACGGGACATCCTCAAAATTCCTGCGCGCGGGACGTGGCACGCGCGAGACATCCCCGGAATTCCTGCGAGCGGGACGTGAAAACAAACATTTCGCCTGAGACATCCTCTGAATTCTGGCCCCCCACGAGGCCCCCGCTCGAGACATCCCCCAAGTTTGCAAAACCAGCGTTTCGCTCGAGACATCCTCAACAAACTATGAAAAAAACCAGCGTTTCGCTCGAGACATCCGGTCAAAATCCAAGGACATCCTGGCAAAACAAACGAATTAGTCTAAACATCCTCAATTCCTGCGCGCGGGACGCGGCACGCGCGAGACATCCTTGGAATTCCCGCGAGCGGGACACGAAAACAAGCATTTCGCCTGAGACATTCTGTGAATTCTGACCCCCCACGACGCCCCCGCTCGAGACATCCCCAAATTGTGCAAAACCAGCGTTTCCCTCGAGACATCCTCAACAAACTATGTAAAAAAAGCGTTTCGCTCGAGACATCCTACCAAAATTCTAAGAAATCCCAGCAACACAAACGAATTTGTTGAGACATCCTCGAAATTCCTGCGCGC